CCTGCCGTGAGGCGGCAGATCGAGATGGTTCATCAATCGATCGGCCCCGCAGAGATGTGTCCCTGGCGCTACGCCAGCACTTGCAGCTCACCTCTGCCGCGTGTTCACAGCGCTATGAACCCCCAATGATCCACTTGGGCGCAGAACGATTGACAAAAAATAAGTGGGTATACTACAAGCTAACGCGTACAAAGTTTGAGAATTGAGAAGATGAGTGCAATTTAGAATGAGAGGCACTTACAAGGACCCACCCGCCCTGCCCACGAGCACACTTAACTTAGAATTAACGCACGCATAAAATTAACTTAAATCTGAAGCACGCATAAAATAACTTAAAACTGAAGCACGCATAAAATAACTTAAAACTGAAGCACGCATAAAATAACTTAAAACTGAAGCACGCATAAAATAACTTAAAACTGAAGCACGCATAAAATAACTTAAAACTGAAGCACGCATAAAATAACTTAAAACTGAAGCACGCATAAAATAACTTAAAACTGAAGCACGCATAAAATAACTTAAAACTGAAGCACGCATAAAATAACTTAAAACTGAAGCACGCATAAAATAACTTAAAACTGAAGCACGCATAAAATAACTTAAAACTGAAGCACGCATAAAATAACTTAAAACTGAAGCACGCATAAAATAACTTAAAACTGAAGCACGCATAAAATAACTTAAAACTAGCGCACGCATCCCTCGATGATCCCTCGATGAATGTCTTGAATGATGACCTATTCATTACCTGCAGAATAATTAGTCATAACAATAAAAAGAGAAAACAGGGAAGCAAATGCAATATTAGTAAGATTATAATGTTTAGACATGCATTTTATGCTGACATGCAAAATTCATATTACCATTTTCGGAATAAAAATCTCCAGTTGACTCAGTAGAAATACACCTGCAAAATATACAATATAACTCAGAAATATTCAATTGCTTAATTAAAATAAAGACCTGAAACATACAAAAAGTAATTAGAGCAAATATGAAACATACTACAATACAAAAAGCCCTAAATGTGCCTTTTGTTCTAAGATTGCACTCGTATAATGTAAAAGTAAGTAAAGAGAAGGGTAAAAGAAGAAAGTTGGAAGAACTTTCTTTCAAGTTTAAAGCAATTGATAATAAAAATGATAGGCTATTACTACATTCTAATATGTAACAATCTAATTTGTAACCATCTAATATGTAACAAGTTAAAAAATTGTGGAGATGAGTGCAAGTCAGAACAAAAGGCACTTACATTTGCGCAAGTTTTTCGCCACATGTTGTGACGAAAAACCTGCGCCCGAGCCCACCCTTCCTCCCACAGCTCGGAATTATTGTAACTTAGATATGAAATTGAGAAGTTATAATCGTAGCTCTTAGCTCGATATCGTTTTTTAAAGTTAATTTCGTGAAAAATATTTAGAAAACGACATCGATTACCGAGTCACACCACGAGGAGGTGGCTACGATAGTGACCCACCCTAACTCCAAATCCCTACCACCCTCCATTTGCAACCTCATTTATCAGAAGGATAAATGAGTTCTAACTTTACATAGCTCATAGGCTCGCATATACAAGTTCTTTACCACAATCCAGCAAAGAACTTGTATTACACACACACACACATACATTAACTTAATACTAATCCCATGGGATTCCACACACATACGCTTAAATTGTAAACGTCGCACCTCTCATTCTAAGATTGCATTCAAATAATCTATGACGAATTCAAAAAGAAAAGGAAAGAAAGTTAGAAGAACTTTCTATTAAAAGCAAAGAAAATTAGAAGAACTTTCTGCTTTCTGTCAAAAAGAAAAGAAAGTTAGAAGAACTTTCTGTCAAAAAAGGGGATCAGTATTTTTCGCCAAGCGG